GCATCGAGAGAGCAGGAGCTAGTGACAGGCATTGCAACTCGCAACTGCCGTGCTCGAAGTCACAAAACTCTGCCAGGGCACTTTTGGCATCCGCCGGAAAGCCCCAGCGACTTCCATCTCCAGCGCCAGTTGCCTGAGTCAGCTACATTTCAACTCACTTGCCGGATGCCGCAGCCTTGCAGATCTGAAATAACGGCTAGGCAGCCTGCCCTCCTCAGATACGATGATCCCGCCTGCCTCCGCCTCATGGACGGTAGACTGGTAGACTGGAGGGCATTCCCAATGTGTCTCAAAGCTGTGAGCCAGTTTTGTGGTGGAACCGCCACTACAAGTTGCTGACAACGAGCCTTGCTGTTCCACCATGCTTTGCAACTCGAATGTCCAAGCGNNTTGCAGGTACAAGGTTGCAGGTACAAGCTTAGTGGGTGATGGAGCGCAGGGGATCGGGCCCGGCAACATATTGAAGCCTCTCTGTCGCATCGCACGTGAGAGCTCTGTGGCAGTTGCATTTTCTCGCTGCGTCGCTGCCAGCACCATCCAGTGGCGAGCAGCCTGCAAAGATCATGCAGTCCGTGCAAAAAGGTGTGCCGAGATCTGCGTGGGTCCTCGAAGAATCCGAAGCAGCGCCTGCCGCTCCGCCTCCCAGCGCTACCAGAGACTATTTGGTGCTTCGGGAAGGGAAGGCAGTGTTCCGGGGCGCCAGCATGGGAAGAGCGGTCGTGGCCTGCAAAAACGGGCAGCAACCTGTGCAGAGAGGATCTAGAATCTAAGGCACGTCCCCCGTGTCAACGCCCGAATCTTCCCGGCCCGAGCACCGCCTTGGGGGTGGTAAAATGATCTCCGTAGTTCCCTGGCCGACCTTGAAAAGCGCATACGATGCTCCCTACATCGAGGTCGGCGCCTCTTTTTGTCTAGGGGCCGTCCGGCCCCGACGCAGACCTCTGCACAATGCCTCACAACTCACTGCAGCGACTTCCCCGAGTGATGCAAAAGTTCGGCTCCTCCTCGCTCCAGGCTGCCACGGCCAAAGCCATCAATTCCTGTCTTCTGGACTCGGCAGATCCCCCGTGCCAAATTCCGCCCGATTTCCCGAACCGCCGCCCAGACTGCGAATATTGCTACTCCAACTACTCCTACCAACTACTTCTCGTCTTCTCTCTACTACCGCAGGGGCTCCGAATCTGCTAGGTCCCGGCCTCGGCCTGGTCGAGGAGACCTGGAGATGGAAGGAACCCTTGAGGAACTTGCACGGAGCAGCTCTTTTGGGGCTTCGGGGGCCCACGATTTTCAGGGCTCCTGGCTGTTCCGCAACGGCTCTGGTGTTTGGGCCTGGAAAAGTTCGGGAGACTCATCGGACAAAATCCTGATCCAGAGCTGCCTTTCGATGATGAGGTTTTAGGGTTTAGACGGGCCCTGGCCACCCTGCGGGAAAAGCAATCGCCCCACTCCCGGCAAACGCCAAGACTCGACACCACATGTTCGTCGGATTGAAGCAGTTGACACACTCTCTGGCTTGAGTGCAGAATGAAGTG